AGTAAAGGAAGACTGCTGTTGTAACAGTACAGCACAATTATTTGGCTTTTCACTTACAGGATTCTAGGGTGATCATACGTCCCCTTTTACCCAGACATGTCCTCTTTTTGGGGGGCGGTCCAGCCATGTCCGGAGGGAGATTATAAAATCCTTCAAATGTGTGGGGTTTGGTATGGAAGTTTTGAGTTTGTGTACCATGGACTAACTGAGTTAGAGGCTCTCTTTTTGATCAATGGGTATTTCAGGTCTTTCAGTTTCATACGACCTCCCTCAGGTGACCCATCCAGGTTTGATCAAGCCCCGGTTTGTGTCCTAGCAGCATTGTCCCACTGGCTACTCCTCCTAATCTAAAGTCATCTGAAGACTCTCTCTGCAGCCTCCATGATGTTCTTTATCCACACAGTGTTGCACTGCAGAGGCTGTGAGGCAAGCCCAGCCACCTGTGGACATAGCTGCTGATCTTGCTCTCCAGGGGTTCTACTGTTGATAGCGCCACCTCGTACACCAACAAAGGCCAGAGTATCTGGGGTAGGATGTTGTGTCGGTAAATCCACATCTTAAATCTTCTGGGTAAGCCAGACTTATGGGCTTTTAATGGTAAACATTGAAATTAAATATATGATCTGCTCATCTTAATCGTGGTAACAATGAAGTTATGCTTTGGCCCTATTCATAAATAGATCATATTCTACCCAAGCTGTTGATATGACTAATTAAGAAATATTTTTATAAGCATACACAGATGAACCCCAGGCTGGAAAAGTGGTGGCTAGTTGGTTTGTTTACAGCCAACTGTGAAAAATATAAAAAGAGATATGAGTGCACTGGACCTTAATGATATTTATCTCTGAGCTCTTAGTCAGACATCTTCACCTGTACAGTGTCTGCTTTACTGCTGCCCATGTCTGCTTCCAGCTCTCTTATTAAAAAGCTTCACATCATGATTTTTCACTAAAACTGTAATTCCCAATTAACAAAAACTACTGTGACAAGACCATTGTGAAACTATTATAAACCATATACTGTTTAAGTATTCCCAACCACTTGCCTTGGAGTCCTTTTCTTCACAGGAAAAAGTGGTGCATTACTGTTAAAACAAAAAAACACACATCGCTTTCAATGTTCTCACTACTGGCAGCCAGTGTATAAGGGTGCTGCGGGCGGAGCCCCGCCTGAGCTGCGTGAGCAAAAAGAGATGTCTGCTGTCTCCCTGAAAATTATTCTCAAAGTAAGGAAATGGTGCTATTATATTAATCATTCCATTAAATGTGAATGTGAATTGGCGCTATATAAATAAAATTTGATTGATTGATTGATTGATTGATTGAAATGTGTATTTCAGTCCGTTAGTGATCTCTCCACCCAGCACTGGGGCGGACTCGGAACGTCTGTTGTCTCACGCGTGCTCAGATCACAGTTCTGCAATAAAAAGTTAGCTTATCCCAGCCACATAAAAAAAATCCTTAAGGGGTGCCAGGGATGAGCGCCCCAGCGTCCCTAATTTGAATGACGTAAGCACGTTCATAACCAGATTGGCCACAAACAGACGCAGAGCTACAATGTGTGTCTGACGTAGCTAGCTGCTCTACTCGGAGCCGGTCCGCCCCTCACTCTGCACTTGGCTGCTAATGACGGAGGACGTGGGAATGACTACCGTCAACCCCCTACTGAGTGATTTACCGGAGAATGCTGCACTGTCCAGCAAGTCGGTCCGATTTGGGAGGAGAACTTTGCAGAACTAACTAAAGCTAGAAGAGCTCAGTCCGGATCAAGTGACCGGAGCAAGTGACCACCAAGAAGAGCAGACAATATACATGGATATTTTCAAGACCATGGTATAGGCGCAAAGCATGGCTAACTGTAAGTCCGAAGAGTAAAGCTGCGTTCAGACCAAACGCGACCTCGGCGACCTGGGCAAAGACTCCCAATGCAAAGTCTATGTACAGCCGCGACCTGACGCGACTTGCAACAGCAGTCTTCCTTCACAGGGAGAGGGAGAAAAGGAGGGAGAAGGAAGGTGGGAGAAGCGGGTCAGCGGCGACCAGCCACGTCCTGCGACCTCCGTGACTGAAGCTTTGGACCCGGTGTGAACACACCATGGCGCAACGGGAATACAGTGACCAACGGGTCTAGGTCGCTTCAGGTCGCGTTTGGTCTGAACGCGGCTTAAGGCTCTTTTCTGTTTCCCGTGTAAATTAATGGTGACAAAAAGAAATTATAAAGCTTGCAAAATATAATTTTACTGAAACAGTCAATCAGCAAAATCTGTTTGTAGAAAAGTAGAGTATACAAAGATTAAAACCTAATATAAACCATACATGTATTATAGTGAGACACTACATAAAAGTTAGACTAAAAAGAAAGCTAACAGACAATGTTCATGCCACAATGTTAGAAATCAATCATTTTTAAGGCAGGATGAAAACATCCTGGAAAAGTCCTGGAAAATTATTTCTATAAAAGAGTGGGAACCCTGTATTTGTTCAGTTTCAATTCAGTTCAACTGAAATATCAAATGTAATAAAATTGTTCTGTATTCAAAGCAAATGATTGTGTTGTTTTCCTTGGCTGATCACTTTGATATGCAGCCTGATTAGTTATAAATGTGGGTCTGCTCTTCTCTATTTTTCTGCAGTTGTCTTTGTGTGCTCCTCTGCTGTAGCCTAACCTGTTGAGATGCAGGTGGATGTACATGAGTAAGAGTATGCTGCTGTCAGTTTCTATATCATATGGTTTCATTGAATGTAGGTAGGCTGTGTGTCGGCTATAATGCCCTATTAATAAGTTGAAATGCAGTACACAGGTCAACATTATACGTTTCCTTAATTATTTTCTTAGAAAGCACCAGAATGCTTCATTTACCTTTTGAAAACGAAAAAAAATCTCCCAGGGGAGGATACCCCCGGACCCCCCTACAGGGCTCTGTTTTCCAAACCTTCAGCCCCACCTATTATTTTTGCACCAGTCGCCACTGGTTCTCACCAGAAAAAGCAATACTATCTACACTATCCAGCAGATCCATGCATCGACTTAACATAAAATAAAAAAATATATATTAACTGATGGAGAGGTTCTCTTGATCGTTGAGATGTTTTAAGTTTAAAGCAGAGTAGAGACAGGGCAGTTGTTTTTTTTGTTTGTTTTTATTTAACCAATAGCCACCCTAAAGTGTTGAGCACTTTGACAGTACTAGCACTTGTCACAGTTTAGGGTCAGCTTTGTTTGTGTGTTTTATACTATTTGTCATTTCTCCAGGTGTGTGTGTGTGATGCACTAGACTACAGGGCCACACAATATTGCAAGTGAGTGAGACCATAACATCACCAGTGTTATCTAAAAAAAATAAAAGACTGATGTATTCAGTGTAAATCAAGGCTGAACAAATGCAGGTGCAACTGCCATGGTCACCATAGTTACCATCACATGTCACTTGACATCACGTGTCAAGGAACATCCCGTCAAGAGTTCATCTATCTTGAGGAAACAAATGCAATGCAGTACATGTCACAGATCGCACTAATGTATATCTTTGCCACAAATGGATGCAATTATGTGCAATTATTGGCTGGTAAGTGCCAGAGCACTCGCCAGCAACACGTCTAAAACACACCCACACACAAGCAACATGTGCACACATGCACAGACTGTATAACAGCAAGCTCTCTATTATTTAGTAGATGCAGTCAAACCACAAAGAAATGCAGACTGTCACAAAAGTTTTTCTTTTCCTCCCTTCAGGAACCAAAGAAACAATGAATGAGAGACAGAAAGGCATAAACACAGAGAGACACACATACAGAGAATTTGACAAACAAGATTAGCATGGGATGTGAACCGACCACAGCTAGTGTAGCTCAAGGCTTACATGTGTAGGAGGAACACTTGAGATAAATGGAAGACTCCAGCATGTTGGCTTCCCTTTGAGACTCTTACGGGCTAAATCAATGTTTTGGTCCACACCTTCAGCAGTTGTTCAACATCCAAATTCTCTTTTTCACCTATCACTCAAAGCTGCATAACACACTTCTTCACAGTCTGATAAAGAAAAAAATGAAATATTTTCAAAATCCCAACTATTTCAATCTGACCAAAGGATGGCTTTTGGCCATAGCGCTGCTCCTACTTTCATTTAGAGATATATCTGTGAAGATTCAATGTGCCTGATGCAAAAATAGCTTTTACATGTAGGGGCTCTATTTTCGTGCCTCGCCGGAGACGTGCCGCAAGCGCGGTGTAAATCAGGTCCGCCGCGCCGACAAGGCGTTCCCAAGCACAATTTGGTATTTTGGTGAGCAGCGCAGCCCGGCGTAAGTATCCCCCCTCCCTAACTCAGCTCCTCCCAGCGGCGTAAATCGTAGCGAGGGAGGAGAGAGGGCGTGGAGTGGGTTTAACACAGCCTAGACCTGTATTAACCAATAACATAAGCTCCTCTCCTTGCCTTTAAATCAGCCACCATCGAGGCGTATTACTATTTTCATGAAGTAGTCAAAGAGATCAAGAGATGTCTGAAGACAGTAATGCCACAAGTTGGCGACAGAGGGCAGCTCCTCAACAAGTGTCACTGTAAGCGCTGCATTGGGCGTCCTCCACACTCTCTCATATGAGCACAGATGGATTTGGTGTGTGTAATGTTGGACCCACTGGTAAGACAAACACCCTTTTCCACAAATAAAGACACTCACATAAAGTTGCTCATATTCAAACCTCACGTGACAAAGGTGGGATGTGCGCAGAGATCACAACATAAACTCCAAAAATGGCATTAAAATCAGAACCATCTGTGCATAAATGACGCATCGCGCTCCGTGACCTGACTCTTTCTTTCATAGATGTTGGCATATAAAATAAATTTGGCTCACAAAACTGAATATTATAATATCCGTATGTCGGCTTAAAGTAAATAACTCATCTGAGCACTGAAACAAATCATCTGTTCAACCGCAGGATGGGAAGAGGACACGGAGACATGTCCAGGTCGAGCTGCGCGAAAAATAAGAGGAAGAGGAAGAAAGAAAAGGAGGGAGACGAATTAAATATCTAGTTAACTTCATCATGTGTGTTTATTTACTAGATATTTAATTTAATTGAATGCGGTTTCAGCTGTGTTGATTCAGTCAGGTTGTGTGTCCAAACACGTACCAAACGCGCTCATCAGATCAGATATAGATCAGAATATATCTATATAGATCTAAATGTATGTGCTGACTCAGATTATTAGTTGTTGTTGATTATTTATTGCACTGAAATCTGCCTGACACTGTGGAAACCTGCCGGTGAGGCATCAGTGACGTATGCCGATACGCCGTAGGTCTACCAAAATACCACTAGACCAGCTGCGCTCTGCCTGCGCTGAAAGCTGACCAGGTTTGAATCGGCGAGCTTTCAGCGCACTTTACACGCCACTGGCGAGCATGAAAATGTCACTGCGCCCGCTGAGTCTGGCGACACCTCCCCCTGCCACGCCACCACGCCCAGCTTGGCGGATCTCGGCTCGCCTCCGTGCGCATCAGTCCACGAAAATACCAAACTGGCTGTACGCTGGGCTCCGCCAGACTAAAATACAACTGCGTGGGGTCCACCACCCTCCGTCGCCTCACCGGCGAGGCACGAAAATAGAGCCCGTAGTTTTTTAGAGCAGAAGGCACAATTGATTTTAGTAGTTTCTAAGTCTTTTAAAAAATTGTTTTTATTTTTATTTTTACTGAGGTTACAAACATTAGAGATAGACCAGTAATTGGTTGGCAGATTAATCAGGTGGATCAACAGCATTTTGACATAATTATATCCAAATAAAAATTAGTTTTAATACATGACTTAAAAGTAGGGAGGGTCGGGTATGTTTTGATCTCAAGGGGCAATTCATTCCATGATTTGGGAGCCACAGCTGAGAAAGCTTGATCACCTCGGGTTTGTGTGTGTGTGTGTGTGTGTGTGTGTGTGTGTGTGGTGGGGGGGGGCATTTAAGAGGCCAGAGATTTACTGTTGTGCTGATCCATTTAATGATTTAAAAACAAAACTAAAATTTAAAAATGTATTCTAAAATGAAGGGATGCCAGAATTGGAGTGATATGATCATGTTTTCATTAACCTGCTACAAGATGAGCTAACTGTAAGCGTGTGAGGAAAGCCTGATTAACACCAGTGTAAAGAACATTACATAGGCCTCACAAGGTCACTGAACAGCCACTGGCTCATGTTTAATATAAATCCTCTTATAAAAAAGCAGTTGAATAGCTATAATATTTCCATTTACCTTTTATAAAAATAAAAAAAAATCCCTGAGTCTGTATTTTTGGCTCTGTTCTGATTAAGGTGCAAGCTTTGACTGCTGTAATCATGTTTTCTTATGAAATCAGATCTAATTGAACTGTTTGTACCAAAGAGGAATATGGCCTTACTTGAATGACTCGGTTCTTTTTGATAGTTTAGATAGCACAGGGTGATGAGGCACCAAAGAGCAAAACAGACAATTCTTCAACCATCCTGACACTAATCTTGGCATTCAATATAACACAGTGGCCCGTTTACATGGGTCCAGAAATCCTATTTACTATCAGATTGAAAGGTTAATCAGATTCAAAATGTCTCATATTAACACCTTAGCCAATCTGATTCACCCAGATCTGATTGTATTTCGGGTCGGATTGTAAGAGGTAGTCTACACCGATTGATTATCCGCTCCATGCTCCATATATACGGCTGAGTGGAGCGGATTGGGTTTACAAGGAGGCTTGTTCGTTCTGCGCAGGCGCTCGGTAGTACGTAAGAGGCACGTAGTGACGTACGCAGGGCGCGCCCAAACGAAAACAAACATGGCGAACAAACAGAAAAACTGGATGGTGGAGTGTTAAAGTGTGTTGTTTCGTGCGACTGACGAAGCGTACACTTCTTGCTGTGTAATCCGGCTGGATTATACTTTTATTAAACTTCAACACATAGGGTTCCTTACTCTGCTCGGTCTGGTAACTCCGGTGGTGTCACACACAAACACGTCCGTGGGCAACCCTAAAACGGAACTAAAACAATGGTTCCTATTAACAATTCCCGTTGATACAATGCAATACAATTGGATTCAGCTGGGGCCATGAAAACGCGGACTGAACGTGGATCTCTTTACTTAATGTTCATGTATACAGATGGAATCAGATTCACTTAATCCGATTGAGGAAAACTACCCATGTAAACGGGGCCAGTGTCTGTCACTGAAGGTTCAAAAGAGCCTTCAACAATCATCCAGAGAGCAGATTGAGCTCATAGGTGTCATCAGGAGAAAGGGCTTGTTGTTTGAAGGACACATTTGCAAGTTTCCAACACATACATTTAAAAAAAATCAATACATCCTCACCGCACTTCTTTCCTTTTTCTGGACATGAAAGAGAAGTGTTTTGATAAATAAATGTTTTCAATGCAGCACTTCGATTCCTGACTTTAAATTAACTTTTACAGTAATTCCCCTTCTGACAAGAATGATGTCATCATATGTTGGATTACCACTGCTTAATGTTTTGTTAAATATTAAAAATAATATAGTGGTCGAGGCCGCTCTGCTTTTACTTTTGGCTTAATACACATTATTCTTTTCATAATGGTAATGATTTCATAGTGCAGCTGCCATATTTTTCTATGTAACAACTCTCAATTACAGGGTCTCAGCCAGCAAAGATTCCAAAACAAACAAACAGAGTAGTGTCACTTCCCTTTATGTAAGCTCATTCTTTTGGATGTATTACATTCAACCTATTCTTAAAGAGAAGAGAAGCAAAAATGATCGAGTGAAGACAGTAGAGAAAGAGAGAGACAGATGCGAGAGTGAAGAGGTAACTCATCCACCCCCTCACGCTCATCTTCTCCGAGGCCCTTTTCCACAAAGCTTTGACCTTCCTAATGTTTAACACAACAAACAGCTCGCCGCCCACCAGGTCTCCATCCACCATCACCGTCTCTGGATAAACCGCCCTCCTCATCTGTGCTTGGCCATATATCAGCCACAAACACACCAAGCTTACTCATACTAGAGTTAGCGGAGTGAATATGAATGTCAATCAAAGACCTTTGTCAGCATGCAACATTGGTGCTACTCTACAGTGGTGTAAAGTGTTGCAGCCCAATATTTCTTGTGGGGTTTACCTACCTTACACACCACCCGGTGTCAAAAAAATAGAAAAATCATAAAATCTTATAGAAACGCAAAATCTGACAAGATGCATCAGCCACTTCTGTTCTTCAGGCTACCTGTGACCCCTGTTTTGTCTGTGGTCAGTCTCCAATACAGTTTTTCTCTATTGCCAAAACACATTTCACCATACTCTAAACCAAATAACCAGTTGCCTCGACACATTTATTAAAATGAAGCCCCATTTGCCACAACCAGAAACACATTTCACCTGTAGACACTATTCACAATACCCACTCACTTCTTCTCAGAACTCTAAACACATTTTTTTTCTTGCTAAAACACATCCTGCAAAACACATCTGCTTAAACATGCATAGTTAAGCTCATCCACAATAGCTCACAGCCTGCCCAATGCCTCTCTTTTCTTTTTTTAGTGAGGCTGAAGCTGGCCTCATCCACAAATATATTCATGTACTGTAGTCTGGTGATGGAGCACACACTGGTGACGGAGGAGTTTGATTCTGGGTACTCTATACTGTAATAGGCCTGCTTCATGCGCCCCCTCTGATGCTGGAGTCAGTGGTCAGGCTGAGTTTGTGAAGTTCAGATTATCAGCAAAGATGTTATCCTGTATTTCCCCTTATGATATTTCAGTATTCTCCTGAACCATGTCGATTCTTGGGATGCGTCTCCCACCTGCATGTGGCAGTCTTTCAAATCTGTGCAGTAAAACATACTGTCATTACTGTGATAAAAAAAAGTTACACCCTGAACATTGTGTTTTCAATTGTTACTGTACACTATACGTATGTATTGTGTGCAATGGATCTTCCATGGTATTTACACTGCTTTGCATTGAGTTGTGATACAGTAACTGATTTTCTTCATGTGACATGAAGAAACATGCAGGATGTATGTATGAGGGAGACATGAAGAAGGTTAGTAACATCTAGTCAAAACAACAAGGCAACTTCAAATGAAAATGTCTCATCAGCCATTCAGGTGAGCATGTGTGCCCTGCAATGACATGTTTTATAATCCAATTTTGAGAGGGCACAGCTGTCAGTCAATTATTCCTCCCTCTCACCTGCCAAGTGACTGGATCAGCTAAAGCTTGTGTGAACTGATGCTAATTAAGGATGGCCAATATTTTTTAAATATTCCATTCATCATTAACATTTAAATAATCAAAAAGTTCATGCAACAATGGTTTTGTCTTTAACAAAAAAAAAAAAAAAAGCCCTTGGATGACGCCAAGGGCTCTATTTTCGTGCCCATGGGCAGCGTGGCGGAGGGTGGCAGACCCCTTGCAGTGCTATTTTCATCTGCCAGAGCCCGGCACACAGGGGAGCTGGCGACAGAATCAGCTGGCGCAGTGATATTTTCATACGCCCGCAGTGTAGAAAGTGCGCTGAAAGCTTGCCGATTGGAACCTGGTCAGCTTTCAGCGCCGGCGGAGCACAGCTGGTCTAGTGGCAGACCGGCAGCATAGTGCGCAAACGTTACCAATGAAATAAATAGCCAACAACAACCAATATTCAGTGCAGCTATCTGTGTCAGCACATACATTTAGATCTATATCGATTTATTCTGATCAATATCTTATCTGATGAGCGCATTTGGCATGTGTTTGGACACTTCACCTGACCAAATTAACACAATTTAAACCGCATTAAATTAAATAGCCAGTAAATGGTCCCACATGGTGAAGTTAACAAGATATTAAATTCATCTCCCCCCCTTTTCTCACTTCCTCTTCCTCTTATTTCTCACACAGCTTGATCCGGACATGTCTCCGTGTGCTCTCCCTGTTCTGCTGCTGCTGCTGCTGCTGCGGCATGGTCGACCAGATTATTTATTTTAGTGATCAGATGAGTTATTTACTTCAAAAAATTTGAACAAAATGAAACAATTTTTCATTCAAAATTCCCTGTTTATCTAATGTTCTCATATCCTTAAAATTCTGTGAATATTCAATCCGGAGTTAGGCTTAGATATGAATATTATAAAAGTCAGTTGCGTGAGCCAAGTTCATTTTATATGCCAACATTTCTGAAAGAAAGAGCCAGGCCACAGAGCGCGATGCGTCCTTTATGCACAGGTGGTTCTGATTTTAATGCCGTTATTGGAGTTTAAATATATCCAACTTTGTGTGATTGTCTTTATTTGTGGAAAAGGGTGTTTGTCTTATCGGTGGGTACAACCTTACACACACCAAATCCTTCTGTGCTCATATGAGAGAGTGTGGAGGGCCTTGCAGCGCTTTCAGCGACACTTGTTGAGGGGCTGCCTTGAGTCGCCATCGTGTGGTATTGCTGTCTTCAGACATCTCTTGATCTCCTCAACTACTGCATGAAAATTGTACTAAGCCTCGCCATTGGCGGATTTAAAGATAAGGAGAGGCGCTGATGTGATTTGTGAAAACAGGTCTCGGCTGTGTTAAACCCACTCCACGCCCTCTCTCCTCCCTCTCTACTATTTACGCCGCTGGGAGGAGCTGAGTTAGGGAGGGGGGATACTTACGCCGGGCTGCACCACGCACCAAAATACCAAATCGTGCTTGGGCAGGCCTTGTTGGTGCGGCGGACCTGACTTACGCCATGCCTGACAGTTTGCTTTCAAATTGACAACACACAGCTGAAAACCTGGCAAATGGGCTTTCCACCGCAGCTGAACACTCATCAGTGCATTTCATGGCATACAACACATTGCTCTGTTTGTGTCTGGGGGTTTTGTCTATAGGGTGAACCAGCCTCTGTCGCAGTGTGTTGGTGGGTTTGAAGTGTACCAGGATGTTGTGTTTCTGAAATATCTTCCTGAGTTTCTCTGACACTCTAGATAAGTAAAAAAATACAATGCTGTGCAGCTTGTTGTTCTCTTCTTGTCTGTTGGTCTCTAGTTTCTTAGAATACTTGACGAAGGCCCACTTTGGGTACCCACATGTTTTCAGGGCTTCCCGGAGGTGCTCTCTATCTTAGTTAGTATCTTCTCAGCCCTGTGTTGAAGAGTTTCAATGACGCCCAGTTGTGTCCTAGTGGATGGTGAGAATCAAAACAGTAGAAGCTGGTCGGTGTGGGTTGGGTTTCTGTACACTTCAATGCTGAGGCTCCTATCCTCCGCCAGCCAGACTTGCAGAGGACAGAATCATGCACAATCTTGTAGTCAGGGTGAACTTGTACATTAAGGAAACAAAACAACCATTACCTACGTAGATGCATATCCCAGCACAGGAGAGCCAGAACGCAGCTGTTCACTTACATCTGAAGGATACAGGACATTCCTTTGAGAACAGCTATGTCAGGATACTGGCCAGGGAAGACTGCTAGTTTAAAGGAGGTGTCAAGGAGGCCATCTTTGTGTTGAACAGAGGCAGCGGACTAAGGCTCTTCTTATCCCTCACTTGCAATTCAGCTTTGGATTTCGACAGCAATCAAAACAAGGCTTTTGTGCTGGATCAGGCTCCAACATCATGCAAGCATAGCAAAACTGAAGAAACTGTTTGGGAGAGGAGGAACGTCTTTAAGAACATCAAACAAGTCCAGTTGCCCTTTCAATTGAGAATTGGATAACTGTGACTTGGATGAATGAGAATCTACACAGACTCCAATGACTGTAATGGGACATGATGATTCAGAGTTAATGACACAGACAGAAAGAGGATGGAGAAGGAGAGAAAGGTGCTCAATGAGCCAGTACCCCCGGCCATCTAAAGCTATAGCATCATAACTAAGAGCTGGCCCAGACTTGAACCAGCTTTACCCGTACACTTTATACAAGAGGACTATTTGAAGCCCACTCTTAAAGGGGGAGAGAGGGTGTCTGCATCCCACTCCCTGACTGGTAGATAACCCCAGAAGAGAGTAGCCTGATAATTGAAAGTTCTACCACCAAACCAAAGCAGTTCCAGTAATACCTATTTGTTGATCAAGCTTCAACAGGTTCTGATGGTCAATCATATCAAAGCAGCACTAAGAGCTAACAAAACAAGTACCAAGAGAAGATCACTGTCTGTGGCCATCAGTAGGTCATTAGTTCCCCTCAGTAATGCAGTTTCAGAGCTATGGTGGACTTGAATCCTGACCTAAAATCCTCAAATAAATTTTTGCTGCTGAGAAAGTCACAGAGCTGACTTTTTCAACTAAGTTCAAATCAAGGAATTTATTCCTCAAACTTAGCTACAGCACTGCCAGACGGGCACCTAGTTAGCATGCTTTTGTTAGGTTTAGTGTAGTCTGATAGGACAAATCTAATCCGAGAGTGGTCTTATAAAAAGGATTTTTTTTTTTGTGGGATGACTGTTAGTTCTCCAGTTTCAAGGCTATAGCCAAGAACAAGATAAGATCAAGGGTGTGATTAAAACTGTACAAACCCAATTGAGTCCAACAAGGAGAGAAAAGCCAGGCTGAGGCTTTTATTTTCATCATCCACATGAAGACTGAGGTCACTGACAATAATGGACTTGTGTGTGTTGAGGACTAAATTAGATGTGATCTCTGAAATTTTAAAGAGGAATTTGGAGGCAAGGAGGGTGGTAAAGATATATCACACTGACTCAGAAATGTAAATGTAACAATTAAGCAGAATCACAAAATCTTTGATGCTGGTTTTCAAACACTGACGGTCAAATTTGATCAAGGTAGTCCAAGAGTTCCTCAGAAAGTCAATTTCTTGGTGGTCTGGTGTACTTTTGCAGATCATACGGAAGCATCAGCATCAATCACACATCCCATAGTGAAAATACCAGCCAAGAAAAAAAAACTGAAATGTATAAATTTATCAAAATTTAATAATTATCAAAAAGAAGTCATTTATGCTTTTGTGGAGAAAAGATAGTAGTTAAACAGCCAGCTAAATCTTAAGCAACGAGATGGGTACGGTCAGAAATGCAAATACAGAATGCCTTTATCTTTATGTTGTAAGGCTGGAAAATAGTGCTTGTGGTTACCTGGTCATAAAGTTGTGATTAAATGTAATAAAAACAGAGTTAAAAAAAACAACAACAAAAAAAACCTACATTTCCATTTTCTGTCAATGGGTACACATTAAGTTTTTAACTCTAACCTACACATTTATTTTATTTTATTTTATTTTATTTACTTTGCTTGGGTCTGAGACTTGGCTTTGGAGAATACTTGTGTCCTTAAGTTGCATGGTGTTGTTAATGTTAAATATTAGTTTGAGTTTGTTGATGCTGCACTGGCAGCTCTGCAGTTTTTCAGAGACAAAGCTTATTTGATCTACAGGACGTTGCAGTGTTCCTCTAGTATGACATGTTTAAAGAATATAAGATGATGATTAATCAGAAACACTATGACCATGAAGTGACATAGGACAAGATTAGGCAAAAACTTCCAACACTAGTTAGCCACTTATACAGAGGAACTGAGGCATCACATCTTATTCATTCAAAAAATTAGAAGATTTTGTGAATGCACTACACTACATTTATCATATCATATATGATAGTATGATACTTTCATATATGGGATCAAATCAAACTTTATTTATAAAGCACCTTTCATACAAGGAATGCAGCACAAAGTATATATATATATGTATATATGTATATGTTCTGCTTTGATATACAGTGAGTCCAAGAAGTATTTGATCCATGGCTGATTTTCTTCGTTTGCCCACTAATAAAGATGTGATCATTCTGCACGTTTAATGGTAGATGTATTCTAACATGGAGAGACAGAATATCAAGACAAAAATCCAGAATATAACTTTAAAGAATATATTTTAATTAATTTGTATTTCATTGAGGGAAATAAGTATTTGATCCCTCTAGCCAAACACACTCAATACTTAGTGGCAAAGCCTTTGTTAGCAAGCACAGCAGTGAGACGTTTGTTGTAGTTGACCACAAGTTTAGCACACACACCAGGGGGAATTTTGGCCCACTCTTCTTTGCAGATCCTCTCTAAATCAGGAAGGTTGGTGGGCTGTCGCTTGGCAACTCTGACCTTCAGCTCCCTCCATAGATTCTCAATCGGATTGAGGTCCGGAGACTGGCTGGGCCACTCCATGACCTTCATGTGATTTTTCTTGAGCCAATCCTTTGTTGCCTTTGCTGTGTGTTTCGGGTCGTTATCATGTTGGAAGACCCAACCACGGCCCATTTTCAGCTTCCTGGCAGAGGGGAGGAGGTTGTCCCTCAGGATTGTACGGTACATGGCTCCAACCATCTTCCCAGTGATGCGGTGAAGTAGCCCTGTACCCTTGGCAGAGAAACACCCCCAAAACATTATGCTTCCACCTCCATGCTTGACGGTGGGCACAGTGTTCTTGGGGTCATAGGCAGCATTTTTCTTCCTCCACACATGGCGGGTAGAGTTGAGGCCAAAAAGTTCAATTTTGGTCTCGTCTGACCACAGAACCTTCTCCCAATAACTTGGTTCATCTTTCAGGTGATCTTTGGCATACTTAAGGCGCGCCTCCACATGTGCCTTCTTGAGCAGGGGTACCTTTCGGGCACTGCAGGATGTTAATCCATTGTTGCGCAAAGTGTTGCCAATTGTTTCCTTGCAAACTGTGGTCCCAGCTGCCTTCAGGTCATTTACCAACTCCTGACGAGTGGTTGCAGGATGATTTCTGACCGTTCTCAGGAGCATTGTCACCCCACGAGGTGAAATCTTCTTTGGAGCACCGGGCCGAGGTCTGTTGATGGTCATGTTATACTCTTTAAATTTTCTAACAATTGCACCAATAGTTGTTACTTTCACATCCAACACCTTGCTAATCTTTTTGTAGCCCATTCCAGCTTTGTGGAGGTCAACAATCCTGACTCTGAGGTCCTGAGACAGCTCTTTGGTCTTACCCATGTTGGAGACTTGAAATCTGTCAGATTGTCTGATTCTGTGAACAGGTGTTTTTCACACAAGTGATTAGTGAGAACAGGTGGCTTCAGTTCAGGTAACAAGCTGATTGGGAGTGTCTAACTGGTCTGTGAAAGGCAGAACTCCTAATGCATACTGAGGGATCAAATACTTATTTCCCTCAATGAAATACAAATCAATTAATATATATTCCTTAGATTTTTTTCAGGATTTTCTTTTTGATATTCTGTCTCTCCATGTTAGAATGCATCTTCCATTAAATGTGCAGAATGATCACATCTTTATTAGTGGGCAAACGAAGAAAATCAGCAAGGGATCAAATACTTCTTGGACTCACTGTATATATATATATATATATATATACAGTATGTATATATGTATATATATACATATATATATATATATACAGTATATATATATATATATATATGTATGTACAGTACATTCCAAAAGTTTGGACACATTCAACGCATTTTCTTTATTCTCATTACTATTTTAATTGTAGATTCTCAGTGAAGGCATCAAAACTATGAATGAACACATGTGGAATTATGTGCTTAAGAAAAAAGTGTGAAATAACTGAAAACATGTATTATATTTTAGATTCCTCAGAATAGAGACCCTTCGCTTTTTAGACAGCGCTGCAAACTTTTGCTGTTCTGTCAATGAGCGTCATGAGGTTGTCATTAAATAGTTTTTACTTCACAGGTGTGCCTTATCAGGATTACTTCATGACTAACAGAGTCAGTCACTAAGTACTTCTGTCATCAAGAGCAAAGGGTGGCTATTTTAAAGAAACTAGCATATAAAACATGTTTTTTTAGTTATTTCACCCTTTTTTTATAAGTACAAAATTCCACATGTGTTCATTCATAGTTTTGATGCCTTCAGTGATATTCTACAATGTAAATAGTCATATAAAAAAATAAAGAAAAGACATTGAATGAGAAGGTGTGTCCAAACTTTTGGCCTGTACTGTATGTATATATATATGTTTATATATATATATACAATCAAAGCAGAACATATACAGTATATGTATAAATAAATGTATGTATATATATATATATATATGATTATATCAGATATGATCATATGTGTGTGTGTGTGTGTGTGTGTGCGCGCGCACGCACACGCACATGATTATCAGAAACATCTTTTTTTGCCTGACTGGCGGTGATGTTATTCATAATCGCATAAGTAATTTTAATTCAAGTGTTCTTCACCTGCACTCAGCAACCTTTGTAATCTTCACATCAAAGATGCTAAATAAATAAGTGGCTTGGTATGAGTCATCCTTGACACCTTTGTTGTTGTTATGTGTGTTATTCTACTGTTTGTACTTCTCTTAGTAAGTGACAGTGACAGGACTACAAAAATGAAGACAGCAATTGATTTTTGTTTAATCACTTACATAGCTTTATTTTGATTATCATTTCCCATAAATATTGGAATAAAATATTCATGTAGCCCACAATCGACATTACAACTCTAATCATATACAGAGTAGTGATTATTAAAAACTGCTGAGATCTGACAAGCTTGATCCTCCGAATTAACTTGAGCCCTGGCACACTGAGACTCTCCACAGCAGAAGACCTCCACAAAGAATAAAGCAAGAGACTGACAGCTCCGATCTCACACAAGACACTATTTTAAGTGGTTGCCATGCCAGCTTCACAGCAGTCAGTGACTCCATGTTACACCACAAGCTCTTAGAACAGCTTGATGAATAATTCAGCACCTTTAAGAGAGGAGATTCTGAGCGATCAGCTTTTTTTTCCTTCTTTTGGAAATTTCATTATAAATAAGATGAGCAAACCCTTTCACTCTGATAAAAAGGCACAACAGATGTGACAAACAGATTCTCACTGACTTTGAAGATAAGGATCTTCTTCAATGAGCTAGTTTTAATGAACAGGAGGCAGAAAGCAGGTCAAACCTCCCACAATCCTCTCTGCTACATCTTGACCTCATTTGCAATTCCAATTGAGTGTTGTTGATGATGATACCACTAATCACTTATGATTAGAAAATCGCTGTGGAGACAGAGAGAACTGTCACTCCTGGATCTTCTCCCAGATAAACACACACGCAGGACCAAAAAGAGAAGCAGCATTTCAGAATCCCACACCATTTATTCCTGCAGTCACTGTGTTTTAATCAAAATAAATAAGTTCATTTCAGAGCGCCTATATATTTTAGCTCAAGCATGAAGCAGAAGCTTGTTGCTAACCTGTTGCATAAATAAGATGAGCAAACCCTTTCACTCTGATAAAAAGGCACAACAGATGTGACAAACAGATCTTCTCACTTTAAAATCCTTACTTACAAGACGATCACTGAGTTCATTAAGTTTGAGTCAGCTGTGATGTTGGAGCAGTGTAGAGCACACTCAACCATATTTTGTTACTCATTGTAACAAATAGTGATGGGAAGAACAGTTCTTTTGACTGCACTGAATCTTTAGAATCCGTTCATTAAAATGATTCTTTTTAAAGATTCGTTCACTGAATCAGTCAGTGCTTCGGAGCCCTGTCCTGCCGGTGCAGTACACGGGTGAGCCACACAGTTCATTCATTGAACGAGCCCCTCCCCTACCCTGCTGCTGAAGTCTCAGCATCGCTCACTGACGATGCTGTGACGATGGAAAAAACACAGCAGCTAGCAGCACGCCCGCTAGACAAGCACGAGTCGTTGTTCTTTTATAGAAGAACGACTCCAAAGTGGAGAGATTAAAAATAAATACACATCGCAGCTGTAGTGAGGATTCTGCTACTTTTAAGATATCAAAAAGCATATTGCTTTAAATCAGCTGAAATTAAATCCTTCTTGCAGGAAAGTTTATACACGTGTACTGATGTAAAGGCACTATTATGCACTGTTTTATCTTAGCCTCAGGGATAAACGTGTGCTCAGCAGTAAGTGAATGACACTACACCTCCCCCTCCTCTGCCTGAATAAAGTCATTCGAAAGTCCTTCGTTTCGTTCACCATGTCGTTCGCTGACTGACTGAATCATTCCATTCACGTACTGATACATGTTGTTCACTGACTGTTTTGTTCACTGACTGATACATATCGTTCATTCGCTGTGAGTGAATCATGAGACTCCGCTCGCCCACTCGCTTGCTGGCTGGCTGTGTGTCGTTCGCCAAAGAGTCAAAGGCGGCAGTTCCACTCCCGACCAGCATGCCCGGCTCGCGGCAGAGCTCAACTGAACTGAAAAAGGAACGAATCAGGTCTCGGTCTGTAAAACATTTGACTGTAAATATATTTTTTATTTTTTTCTAAACCATGCATGAAGACATGCTTTGGTATCTTATTAACTATGAAAAAAAAGGACAGCTTTTCAAACACCACAGACTTAAACATGGAAGTTATGCCGGGGCTGAATCAGGATTACCCATGTACAGGACCCTGATCCAGATCTTCAGGCAGGACAAATATTACAGACAAAGTCTAATTGTTATGAAATCCCATTTTATTTTCTTATTACTCATAGGATCCTCATGATGCAGACTCCTTGGACATTCCAGTAGGCATCCTCTGCTTTGAAGAAGGTGGGACCCAAAATCATCTAAACAGAGCTCTTGCTCATGGCTCCCAAGGCACTGCTTCGCAGAATGGGTGATTTCCTCCTCCATATTGACGGCTACTCCATCTCCCCATCCTCCGAGGTGCGCAACCTGGGCGTCATCTTGGACTCTGCCCTCTCATTCCAAACCCACATTAAATCCGTAACTAAGTCAGCCTTTTTCCACCTTAAGACCATCTCCAGACTCCGCTCGTCCCTCTCAGACCCTGTCGCAGAAACCCTCATCCATGCCTTTGTATCCTCCCGCTTAGACTACTGCAACGGTGTCCTGTTCGGACTTCCTAAAAAAGACTTGGACCGTATGCAGTACGTTCAAAATTCAGCTGCCAGAGTGCTCACCCGGACCAAACCTTGGCAGCACATCACCCCCACCCTCAAACGCCTCCACTGGCTTCCCATCAAATATCGCATCATCTACAAACTCCTCCTGCTCACCTACAAAGCTCTCCATGCCCTAGCCCCATACTACCTCTCTGACCTCCTCAAGGACTACATCCCGGCGCGTACTCTGCGGTCTGCAGACCTTGGGCTCCTCACTGTCCGCTATAGGAAAAGGCGATCCCTTGGTGACAGAGCCTTCAGTGTGGCCGCCCCTCCTCTCTGGAACTCTCTCCCCTCTGAGATTCTCCAAGCACAGACTCTTGACTCTTTCAAGTCTGCTCTGAAGCGACACTTGTTTATCCAGGCTTTTGGTATTTAGTTTTTGTAGTGTGTTGTTAAGCGCCTTGGGTATCCTGAAAGGCGCTATATAAATGTAAGATATTATTATTATTATTATTATTATCTAAACATATAATGGTTTAATGTTACGTTATTTCTATTTTATATTTATTGTGGCTGTTGTTATGTCCTGTTTTTGGCAAATGTCAATACAATTCAATGACAGCGTTTGCTGTAATATATTTTTGAGTTGGCATAACTTAAAATTTTGAGTTTAATGAAAGCCAAATTCAGCTAAGTGCACGTGAGAAAATTAGTTATTGTCACTTAAAAAAGCGAGTTGAATAGGTATGGATTTTAATACAGATTATGAGTAAAAATAACTTTTCTTTCAGTGTATTCAACTCAAATAATCTATTCCATTCCCTTTGGTATTTGCGTTGATTTTACCTATTAATTTAATTGATGCACTCATTACTTAAATCATTTAAGTGCAATCACTTGCCTCAAAAATTGTGAGTAGAATCAACTTATCCAGTTTACAGTGTAGAGAGTGGGGAATAAAATGCAGGAAAGGGGTTACAGGTTGGAGCTGAACCCTGCCAACCTAAGGACCATGGCATCTGCACATAAGGTGGGCAATTCAACCAAGAAACCAAACTGGAGCCCCACAGCAAGGCCTTTCTCCATAACATGAAATTTTATGTTTTGATAAACAACTTTCACTAACTCAAACATCCTTGCAGACCCTTCCTCTGCTGCTCTGGAGTGAGAAAAAATGTAGTATTAAGTCTTTGCCAGACTGCTGTGGATGTGCTGTCATGCAAATGTGCTGGCACTGACTTCCGTGTGTAATGTAATATCTAAAAATACTTACAAACCATCTGGATCACAACATTTTTTTCAAAAAAGTTCAAAACTGTGTTAACGTAAATTTAGTTTGCAGGCTGTCAACTACAACACAGTCTTTGTGCAAGTATGAGAAATGATAAGATGTGAATTATTTCTTAACGATTCCCCATTACTTCTTCTCTTATTCCCATGGTTTGGTAATTTCTCAAAGCATGATGCTGATGGAGACCCCTCAGACAGAAAATCTGACCAAAGTAGGGGATACTGACAACACTGGAAGATGATTACTGTTGACAGTTAAAGCTGGTCAGATATCTAAAAGTGATCTTGATAAAGTATAAAAAGGTCCTAAAGGTTTTTACATTTTAAATATTAACTTACAATCTTAAATTGTTCAGTTTAAGACTTTCACTCGTAGCGCTGTGCTCTTTGGATAATAAATTACATAAACCTCTTTTACCACTTACTATACATGTTATCAGAGCCAACACATCATTGGCCTTTTCAAGCCTCTAACTTCATAACCTCAAGGCTCACAGACTTCTGCGTTACAATGAAACAGACCCATGTCACTTGCTGCCTGGCAGTAGTTAGCTTGTCGGTGCTTGTGAATGGGTAAATGTGACATGTAATGTACAAAGCACTTTGAGTCCATTTACAGTTCACAATGTGGCAGCTGTACTAGTAGTAAAGCCATATGTCTTGGACTAGTAAACGGTAAAATGGTAAATGGTCTGGCTACCTCTGTGCTCTCACAAGGCAGTCAACCAGCATCTCTGGTCTCCTGACAGATACAGCTGAATAATCTGTCCCACACCAGTTAGCGGTGCTTGCTTTCCTTAGATGAAGAATTTCCAAATCACTAAGGCAGTAATGTTGTTAAAATCTTAGAAGATGTGGTAAACTCACTATCCATGTGTCCTACAGAACAACTTGATCACCTCATAGAGGACACTACATTTATAACAACAAAAAAATCCTGATACAATGACAGCCACCAGGAACAGAAACATTGATTCCTTTTTTTAATCCACCACCATAAGCTCAAAGGACTTGCTCCAAGCTACATTTCAGAGCTTTTAATATCTTATGAGCCAACTCGCAGCCTCAGATCCTCTGGCGAAGGCCTCCTGGTCGTTCCAAAGTCGAGGCTCAAGACTAAAGGGGATAGAGCTTTCTCCATCAGAGCTCCTCGACTTTGGAACGACCTGCCAGAGGAGATAAGGCGTGCAGAGACAGTCGCTTCTTTTAAGTCAATTTTAAAAACTCACTTTTACAGACTTGCCTTTATGTGATGCCATCTTTCATCTTTTATTGCCTTTTACCGTTTTTATTTTTCTCCTTTTTCTTTTACCTCTTTCACCTCTTTCTTATTTAGACTTACTGCCTTTTTAGCCTTTGTTTTACTTATAATCTTTTTATTGATTTTAATGTTTTCATTTTCCTTTATTTTATATATATATATATTTAATTCCACTTTATCATTTATATTACCATCATTTTATTTTGTTATGATTTTATTATTATTAATATCCTCTTTTATACTTACTAGCCTGTTTTCTTCCCTCCTTTCCTATTTCTTTTTTTTATGTTTTTATTTTGGTCCTCATGGTCCCATTTATTTTGTAGGGTTCTTGTATTGCCTGGGTTTCTTACGAAAAGTGAAACAGGCCTACAATTCAGATGCCTGTTTTTTAACTGAGCTTTTGTTTTTATGTGTTTTTATTTTCAATGTGCTGATGCTCTGTGCTTACAACTGTTGTCTAAGCACTTTGTAAACTTCTGTTTTTAAAGGTGCTATATAAATAAAATTATTATTATTATTATTATTATTATTATTATAACATGACCAAACAGATTTGTACTCACCCATTTTCCGTCATGGGTTTTATTTACATGACAGTTATGAGACTTGGCTGAGTGAAACAGAAGCAGCAGAAGTACAAAACCTTTGCATCAAATTACCAGTCTGGTGCAGTTCCCGAGAGAGGGGATAACAGACAAGAGCATTAGTCAATTCAAATCATGTCCTCTGTGTCCAGACCATAACTGACAATAATTGGTCTATTTCCTCAACAGGACCCCAAAGCCAGTGCTTATCATAGGCACACAAGCAATCATGCAGCATTCACCAGAGCACAGGACTGCTTGTTACCTTGCTAGTAGGACAACAGGATACTTTCACAAATATATTTACATTTACATTTGTAAGACTGTCAGTCTACTCTCCCGTGTCAAAAATAAAGACAAGACAAAAAACAGAAGAAAACCCCCTTGATTAAACTGAAGTGCTTTTGAAACAGATAAATGTAGTGCTAGGTGAGAAACAGATGGATTTGGCAGCAAAAGGAGTTTCATATTCAGACTCACACAAGCTGAGACAGTTTCACACTTCAACAATTATGCAGCAACCCCCCTCCATCTGGTTAATGTGTGTGTGTGTGTGTGTGTGTGTGTGTGTGTGTGTGTGTGTGTGTGTGTGTGTGTGTGTGTGTGTGTGTGTGTGTGTGTGTGTGTGTGTGTGTGTTTATTGGTCTTCTCTGCTGCATCTTTTTTATCATGAATAATTAGGAGAAGAGCCCTGTAATTCTTGATTCTTCAGTTGTTTATTCACATATGCCCCCTCTCTCCTTGCACGTGACGCTGTCTGCCTAGTGCCCACCCACTCCAACAGAGGAGGAGAGAGATAGTGAGTGAGACATAAAGTGAGAGAGCAGGAGAGTTAGAGCGAAAGGGAGGGAGGAGAAACAGAAGAGCAGCACAGAAAGCCAGTCTGTTTTCAGCTCCCAGTTCACTGTAGCTGCTCTGCCAGACAGCATTCAGCCTTCCACCATCACACTCTCCGACACATTCACGCTCTCTGTACGACAGCTGACAACACCTTTTTATTTTCTCAGCAACACCACAGACCCACACCGCCAGATCCAGAGAGAAGATAAAGGCAGATTCGAGTTTTACCGCAACCGTACCAGCTCAGAAGAGGCTGGATCGAGGCTGGAGAGGGTGACTGGGCATGGAATGGAACCTCAGAAGGATGGAAAGTGAACTGAGGCATATCAACCCTGACCTGCTGCAGCCCAGCAAGAGCTTCAAGAAACCCTCGTCTGGCACCATCACCCTGAACGTTGGGGGGTTCCTGTATACAGCCCATCGTACCACCCTTGCCAAGCACCAAGGTTCCTTTCTGGAAGAACTGGCCAACGGTAAGAAGCCGGTCCAGCACACTGATTCCATGGGCAACCCATTCATTGACAGAGATGGTCCAGTTTTTCGACACGTGCTTAACTACCTGCGAACAGGGGAGCTCCAGCTGCCCGACGACTTCCGGGAGGCAGGGCTCCTGCGACGAGAAGCTGATTTTTACCGCTTGACTGAACTTGTGGAAGCTGTGGTTGAGTGGGAAAATCAGAGGGCAGCCCAGCGAGAGGCCGCTTTTTTGGAGGTGACAGATAGCCACGAAAGGTCTCAAGGCCTAAAGGTGTACTGCAGTGACGCTGCCTTCCTCGACAAGATCAAGGGGCGGCTTGTGCAAATCTCCAAAAGCCGTTTGGATGGATTTCCTGAAGAATTCGTGGTGTCATCCAACATGATTCAGTTCCGACACTTCATCAAGTCGGAGCCAGGCTCTCGGCTCGTCCTAAAGGAGGACAGTACATTCTTGTGCACACTTGACTGTCTTAAACTAGAGACAGTAATGCTAGCACTTAGATCAGGCTTCAAGCTGGTCACAAGCCTTGACAGCAGCAAAGGTTCTGTGGTGGCAGCTGAGGCCCTGCATTTTGTTAAGTAAAACGGAACAACAGACGAAACAGAGAGAAGAGAAGAGAAGAAAAAAAAGGAAGCTCTTGATTCTATATCCAACCCTACAAACGTGATTTGTGGCTAGAAGATGTGCTGGGTGTAATGTGTTATTGGAAAGAAGAAGGGAAACAGGTGGGCTGGGCTGTCTCTGAGCACGGTATTTATATCTTCACTGAGAGCTGTTGGTTTACAACCACAGGAATGGATAAGATTTATTTCTCAGCTAATCTTGAATGATTTGCATCAGAAGTAGAATTGTATTTTGGTTTTAGCATAGCAATTGCAATTTGCACTGCTATGTAAGCTAGTATTTTTAAAATTCAGAATTTCCAAGGTTAAATTAGCCTTTATAATTTACATATAATACACCTGATTAAGTGTGTCACACAAACAGCCACTATAATACTGGAGACATGCCAACGGTAAAAGCGGCACAGAGGAGAGGAAAAGTGATACAAAGATAAGGAACACTGAGGGCTTCATCAGTGGGTTTGTCTCCGCACAAGAACTGCTTCTGCTGCTTTGTCAATGGCTGAAAAAAAGCCTGCAAAACCAGCTGTGGTGAGCACTGTAGTGCCATTCAGCTTTTACTACTGTCTGTGCCTGTGTGTGTGTGTGTGTGTGCGTGCGTGTGCGCGAGTGAGTATGTGTATTGCTATATTGTGTGGGCTGTTTGTAGATAATTTAATTGCTTGTGTCTAGTTTATAAGCCTCTCTGGAGCCTTAATGGAAAACTACAGCTCATTATCATTGTTGTGAATGGAAAAACAAACTGACAGACTGAAGCAACAAAACTGTATCTCTCTTTGTGTCTGCAAGTTAAATTTAAGTGCAAAGAATTGTGATTATTGTAAGGGCTTCAAATCTAGCATGATGCATGTGCACTAAAAACTGTGTGTTTGTTAGTGCTGTGAGCCTCTGTGGTGTCAGCGCCACAACAAACCTGATGACTTTATATGTGAAGATTTTGCAAATAAAAGTGACGCTGAAAGTACTGGTAAAATGTTTGGCGTGTAAATGCATTAGTCTTTGTATGGTACATGCCAAAGTCATTGATTGGAAGGAAACCTGCGGCAATGCTTATCGTTAAAAGGTCATTCTGCAAAGTTAACCTTGCTATTCAATTCTGATTTCTTACTGTTAACTTTTGAGCTAGACTGGAGACTGACTAATGTTGAATGATAAATGAACAAACCCTTTTACAAGTTAGAGCCTGATGGAGGAACAACTTGCTCATGAGTCCCTCAAAGCTGAAATCAAAAAAGCATAGTCTAAACCTGTTTTGGGTGGAAAGTGCCATGAGATAACTTTTTTCGTCTTTTCTCTATATAAAAAGTGATGCATTGAGGAATTTTATCAAAATTATCTTCGTCTCCCTCTTGCTACACAAAAACATCATAATATAGTACATGCATATTTTTTGACTTCCCCAAAGAGGTAAAAGCAATCTTTCTGATGGCATTTTTACAAAATGGAAATGGTTAAAATTGAAAAGGCACTGATACGTTTTATATCTGCTATATATGAAGTGAATTACTTAATATTCTAGCAGATGGACACAAACTATCTGTATTTTTGTTCAATGAGAAACACAAAGAAATGAATGAATTATGTCAAGAGTAATAATATAGTCAGTTCAGATAACTTCCTTGAACAAATCTGTGGAATCTGAAGCTTGCTTCTTCTTGAAAACATTTTTTTCTTTATCATTGCTGGAGCTGCAAGTTAGCAGGTTTCTTCGATTGATCAGCACAAGTGAATTTAAACTTCCAACAGCTCAGAGTTAGATTGAAAGGCAATGAGCAATAGAGTGTAAAATTTGGTCTCTGAAGGAAAATGACGTTTCAAATTAAATCAAGTAGCATTTGGCACAATGCAAGCCAGTTTCTTTACATGAAATGGACTTGACAACTGATCATTTCAGACTCTTCAAACCTTACATAAAGCATGTTAGCATGTTACCTACAAGTCAATGCTATGACCAGGAGCAAGTTGACCACACAAGTGCAAAAAACTCACCCACTAAGAAAACTCAAATTTTTAAAACCAAGTGTGAGGTTCATACTTCAAGAGGATATTTTTTGGTGCTTTAGCACTTTAATTCTACCTAGTTAGTTTTTGTGTCAAAGTGGTTTCATTTTCTGGAGAGGAAACACGTGACACAGTAATTTGATCTGGCTCACTATAGCAGCAGTGCAGTTCCTCCATCTACAGAAGTCTTTGGGGAGTCTCTCCAATCCCTCCCAGTTCCAGTAGAGATATTTGGTATTTCAAAAACTGGGACAGTCTGTGAGACAAATCCTGCCCCTTCCCTTGGGTGAAAGCTCTTTTTTATCTCATTGCAATCCACTTTGGTGTGTGCCAGGATTGTGGGTAATACTAATTTGAGCATTGAAAATGTTTACTAAGTATAACTTCAGGCACATTATATTTGTATACGTGATCAGCCCAACCTTTTTAAAATATGAATGGCCTCAGTGGAACTGAACTATTGCTTCCCTCTCCACTATTTTGTGCACATTATTACTTGCCTTTTATTGAAACGAAGGAGTGTCCCTGCCTCATGGCAACCATAGTGAGCAATAATAAGTTGTCTGTAATCAAGGCCTTGCTCTAGTTTAACATTATGTGGCATAATGGCTATGAGAGAATGTCTCCATGTAGATTTGTTCAGAAAAGTGCCCAGATTCCCACACATTCTGAGAATACTCTCAGAGAGCTCCAAATTTAGCTTTAAAAATCTAGCAAGGAGTCCTGGCTGAAGAAAGATTTTCAGAGTAACTCTCAGCATAGACAGGAAAGAAGCAAAATCTAACTGATTTGGAAAGCTCATTTTTTGATCCAAAGAGTATGAAAATAATCCTTTTTGTTGATGATGGACATAGAAGGACCAGAAAAACCATCAGCCAATCAGCCTACTTATTGTCATGACTGTCTCTTTTAAGTAGCTTGTAAGCCATACTTTAAAGTCTCCAAGATCAGCGCCACTTCTAACTAGTTTGAACTATCTATGTCATTTACTTTTATACCTAATGGTTCTTTTATCAATGTTTTCCTTTTGCGCCTTGCAAAACAGTGACTGGTGACAACCAATGAAGAGATCATGGCAGGCAGAGGACAGGACTGGCACAAAACACCGTCGTCTACAACTGTATATTGTTGTTTACAGTATCAGCTCTTAAACTGTCAAAATGACTAACTGTAAAACCCACTCACATCATGAGACCAGCAGCTTTCCAGCCATAAAATAAACATGTTTCTGTTACATTCAGGGGCTTACTTATCCCACAGAGAGGACCTGTGACCTGAGGACCTCACCTATAAAGGTCCAGTCAGAAGCCAGATTTCCTCATCTCAATTGAACTCAAAATAAAACCATGCTGTGAACAGAGAAAATCTGCACAGGCCTCCTTTACTGATTGATGAAGAATATGAATGATAAACAGAATGGATAATGGACAGAGTATCACCAAAATTTGATTGATTCCTATTATCAAACCTCTAACTACTGCTCCCCTTCCATCATGCTCTGAAACAATCATGCTCCTGCAACAGGAGTCATCATGCCATTGGTCTTACCATCACCACATTTTTTAAAACTCATCCACCAATGACCACCTTGAATATTTGGCAGACATCATCCATGGGCTGCTCCTCACAGACACTCACACATCATACATCATAGTGAGATTTTTTTCACTCAGTCATGATTGGCCTTATTGCCAATGACGATGAGAGGAAGTACAGAGAACTGAACCAGAACTCTGTGGACTGGTGTCGGCGGAACTTCCTCCAGATCAACATGGTAAAAACAAGGAGCTGGTGGTAGATTGCCACAGGTTCAGACTGCTAGACCCAGCCTCCCATACCAGTGAACATTCATTGAGATTGTGAACTCTTACAGGTACCTGGGTGTTCACCTGAACAATAAACTAGACTGGACTGACAACACAAATCCACTTTACATGAAAGGCCACGGTAGACTCCACCTCCTGAGGAAACTGAGGTCCTTTGGGGTGCAGGGAGCTCTCCTGTGGTCCTTTTATGACTCTGTGGTGGCCTCGTTCATCTTCTATGGACTGGTCTGCTGGAGCATCACGGCTGCAGACAGGAACACACAGAACAAACTGGTGAGGAAGACTAGCTCTGTCTTGGGCCTCCCTCTGGCCCTGTTGAGGTGGTAGGGTATAGGAGGATTATGGCTAAGCACTGCCTGCAGAACACTGTAACAGCACTGGACAGCTCTGTCAGAGACAGGCTTCTTCACCCGTGCTGTCCTCCCTTCCTGCTGCAGTGAGACGGTTTAACCAGGCCTGCTTCCAGTAGTCAAGGTTTTTTTTTCTTTTTTCTTTTTGCACAACTAATGGACAAAAACTCAATGCTACCCCAATGTGCGATATTGGCAGGCTTGATATTTATTACAACTGCAAACACCTTCATTTTTCTCAGGTATAATTAGACAAATATATGCAAAAACATGTCGAGTTTTGTTTGTTGTTTGTTGTGTAGAACCATTTTGTTTTTTGTTGGATCTAACCTTTTTTTCTCTTCTTTTGTTTATAAGAAGAGTATGATAAGAAGAATATGTCTAGGTCTAAGTTAACTTTTAGAATTATCTGAGCACTGAAGAGTGTACTTATTCTTCTATGTTTGCTGTGCTGATCCTTTGCTGCTGTAACACTGGAAATGTCCCATCATGGAATGAATAAGGTTAATCTTATCTTAATAAATTAGTTAACAAATGTGTATGACAACAGGCTGAGATATTCCACAAAGTACATGAGCCCATACAGTTTGCCATCCACAGACATTTCAATGACAAAATCAAACCTGAGGCCTTTTTCAATGACGGATCAGCTCTGTGCATTTCAAATGACTATTTTACTGATTAGTTGCAGGGTCAAAGTGATACATGCTTTGTCAAAATGATGATAAGGACTCCACAAAGTGCAGGCAGATAAAGATAAAGTTTGGTCTGATCAACTTCTCTGATCTCTGATCTTTTTCACCAGTTGCCAATCAAATACAGCGCATACATCAGGGGTGTCAAAGTCAAATGGACGGAGGGCCAAATAAAAAATTTAGCTACAAGCCAAGGGCCGGACTGATATAATGTTCATTGAAAATTTTTTAAATGAGGCATATAGTCTAGTGAACCTAACTGAACCTACTGAAAACCTAACAAATATATTCCAATATGATCAGATAAATAAAGCAATATTTTCTTCTGGCTCTGTCAGTAATCTTTAATTTTCAACAGACACAAAAGACAAATTTCCTTTAAATAAAAATCCCCATAACATGAACATTAAATGAAAGAAACCGGTATTATTCAAGGCACCATCAGTAGCCTATATTTTCTATTTTAGCAAAAGTGGGCTAAATTTACTTCAAAGAAAAAAATAATAATAGCAATTTTCTATCATCCACTCAACTGAAATATTTTTAAAATGTAATTGGATTGAAATACAATAAAAACGTGTTTCGTTTCATAATGTCGTCTCAGATTATACTCTTTCAGTACCGCCACACTTTCTCCACACAGAAGACACACAGGTTTTCCAGCTACCTCCGTGAACATATACTCAGACTCCCACCTTGTTTGAAACCCCCGGTTCTCAGTGTCCACCTTCCGTTTTGCCATTTTTGATGGGTATCTGAAAGTTAATTTTACTGTTATGCTGACGACTGCTGTGCTAATAAATATTGAAATGAAGCAGCCTACTGCTCGGTGCGTCACCGTTGCATTGTGGGAAATGTAGTATTGGTGCGTCTAAAAGATCTGCGGGCTGCCGGCTTGCTGCGGTCTGCGGGCCGGTTCTAATAATGAATCAAGATCATCCCAGGGGCCGTAAAAAACCTTCTCGCGGGCCGGATGTGGCCCGCGGGCCTTGACTCTGACATATGTGGCATACATCATATGCTCACAAGTTGCTTTCAGTCTCTCTTCTTTAGCACACAAATACAATTATGGAGCACCACTCAGCCGGTAAATGCCTAATATACCTGAGATTTTTATCGTTCAGCAGCAGCAGTATTGGTGGTAATGGAAGTACAGGGGGAGGTGGTGAATGAGAGTAAGGCTGATAAAGAGGAGGAGGAGCGGAGTTCTGACCCTTTTCACTCCCTCTCCCAGTTCAGACAAAGAGGTAGAAGCAACAATTGTTCAGTCACAGATAAAGAGAGGCAGGGGCACAACAAAGCAGTGAGTGCTTGGAAATGTTCCTAAAATATTTCAGACTGGAGCTCTCACAAGTTGATTCTCTTGTGACAGGATGTAAAAGGTTTAGTCTGTGGTTTCAGGTAGACTTACTATGCCAGATCCTGATCAAAGTTGAAAATAGAGTGGGATCATTTTTACACTCAAGTGTGGAAGAGGATTTTAAGTTTGGTCAATTGGTTGGCTGATAAGAATACTCTGCTCTGGAGTTGCAACTCCCTCTTGAAACTGAGGAACTATAACTACTATAGCCTGGCTGGGCCATCCAGTTGTGTGAAGCCCATCGGGAGCGTCTATTAGTGATGTATTAGATCCGCAGAAGACGTCGGATATAAACAATTTCTGCCAACTTTGTAAAGTCAACTGCAGAATCAGCATTCTGAATGAACGGCGCTTTGAAAAGTCCCGCAGCATGTGTTAGACGTCACCATCTACACATGGACCAATCAGGGTCTGCCTTTCCCTGTTGTCTGGGGAACAGTGGAAACACAGTCACTGATTGGCCCGTTTTTTTCTGATCGCTAATACACGCTCCCAATGGGCCGAAGTCCAGACTGTTGTGTGAAGGAACGGCAAGTGATTCACGCAACTGGATGGCCCAGCCAGGCTATAACTACTAGGCTTCCCCACCAAATTTAAATTTTCTATTTTCCATTAGAGAGGGTAGAAGAGGAGGTGGGACGGCATTCATCATAGATGATTCACTGACCTCAAATGGAGTGTTTTTTAACCGCTACATATCATTTGAGCACCATGCCTTTACTTTTAGCAGTCCTCCAATTCTTTGCATGACAGTATAAAGACCACCCCATCACTCTCGCTCTTTTATCAGGGACGTTTCTGAACTTTTATCCATTATTCACACCTCTTATAGCAGGATTTTAATAACTGGTGATTTTAATCTACATGTCGATGATACCTCGGATCCAATATCCAGAGAGTTTTTCAATCTTTTAAATTTTCTTGATTTCAGGCAGCACATAACACAGCCAACTCACAACAGAGGACACACCCTGGACCTGGTCATAACCCATGGCCTGTCCATCAGTGTGTCCTCTGTTGTCGACCTGGCTCTGACCACGACTGTGTAAATTTTAACACCCCCATTTTTAACCACGAGGAGGCCCCCATGAGAACAGTGAGGAGATGCTATCTTACTTCTGAAGTGGCTGCGAACTTTATGGAGATTTTACAGAAGACTCCTGCTGAAATTCTACCTCCACCTTGTGAATTTATTGTTGATAATTTAAACAGTAGACTGAAGTCACCTCTGGACTTCGTGGCTCCACTCATAACGAAAACAATAAAAAGAAAACCTACACCTCCGTGGAGAAAAAACAAAATCAATTAACTGAAAAGAAAATGCAGGAGTGCTGAGAGAAGATGGAGAAAAAGTAAATTAACCATTTGTTACAAGATTTTACCTCAACAGCTCAAAACCTACAATAACGTGGTAAAAAGGCACGTAGTTCCCATTTCTCACAAGTCATCACCATCCATAAAAACAACCCCCGGTTCCTCTTCTCCACTTTTGACATTTTAACAGACACTAAATCTAATAAAGGTTTTAAGACACCAACAGATGATCTTTCAAGAACTTTGCAGACCACCTCAGAACCAAAATCAAGTACACAAGATCCTGCCTTAATGCCATCAAGTTTTATCTGTTAACACACCAGAACTATTGTCTTTGCCTGACGAAACACTTTAGAGTTTTGCCCTAGTCGATGCAAGAACACTTAGTCAAGTTTTCTCCCAAGTAAACCCAACAACCTGCCCTTTAGATCCAATTCCCACATCATTTTATAATCGTTTAATGGATTCAGACTGATGTCTTCCCCACTACCTTTAAAACAGCGGTGGTGAAGCCTCCTCTTAATGAAACGTAATGCTGCGCCAGTTTGCACGTACCTTTCAAACGTGCTAAATATAGACGTAAAAAAGCGACCGCAATCAGTTTCCGGGTTTGAAAAATCACGTTGCAGGTGCTAAATGATTCCATTTGCATCTGCTACTCCCAGTATTTTGTGTGTTCTGATGATCTACATACATTCTGCATATTCACGGAGGCAAACACACTAAATCGATTGCGCGCGCTGTTTTGCTCATTTGACAGCAATCCTCAGTGCACCCAGTTAGTTAGATCAATTTTGCATGCTGTCAAGTTTGCACGTGTTTTTGCACACGCAAACCTTTAGTAGATCAGGCCCCTTGTGTTGTATGTCCGTGCATGAGAAGTGCTCTAGAAATTTAATTGATTGATTGATTGATTGATTGATTGATTGATTGATTGATAAAAGGAAATGGATCAGTTTTAGACCATATACCACAAGGAAATGCTGAAAATCCTCACCAGTGAGAAGCCATATAACTTGCAGTATATATGCTGAAATAATTAGATAATCAACTCCTACCAAAACAGTTGCTGAAAATTTTAACTACATTCAACAACAGAAGGAAAAAGGACAAGTGAGTGGGCAGATGAAAAAGAGAAAGATAATAGGTTGATCACCTGCCGAGAGAAACAGAGATGGAAGAAAGTGGAGGAGAGCATCAGAACCATCCAGCCTTTCACCTGCCTATTCTAACACATGTGACAAAGCCTGTATCCAAGTGATACTGTACATGATGTTTTTGTATTCATACCATAGCCCTGTGTTGTACAATAAAAAGACTACTACCAGACATTTTAGAGAGCTAATAACTGCACAAAAATAAAGCAAAAATCCTGAATCTGTGTGTTTTTAAAATATAATGCTCTCATTTTGGGCCTGTCTTTGACAAATGAAAGTTTTTATTGATCATCCACTTTCTGTTTCAACAGTTGGAAATATATTGAAAACAACTGAGCACTCGATTTGAATGGTTTCCTTTCTTACATTTCAATAAACCTGACCACCCCCGTATTTAGTTATTAATGGACCATGGTTTAAACTGGTTTGAATTTTATGTAACCATGGTTACATTGATCAGTGTGTTCCATGTGCAGATTGGTTAGAGGACTCACCTCTTTTTAAGCAGTTCAAGCCCAGCAGAGAGATTAAGAAGTTCAGCTTTTGATAGCTAGGTTTTCAGTATCTACTGTTATTCCTCCGGTGGTCCCCTCTGTTTCCCACACCACAAAGTAAGCAGACCAGATTGCCGACAACTCTTAAGTGGACCTGACTTCACAGGGTCCACTTTTGAGGAATCAATCAAGGTAACTTGTTTATGCCTGAAATAAAGTAAAAACAGACACAACACACTAACAAGGCGCACAATGTAGCATTTTTTTGTCGCTGGGCAAACAATAAAGGTCCAACGAGTTAAGCCTGCCCTTAAAGCTGAGGAATTCTGCTCTGCATTCTATACTCAACTGGCTACGGGGTTCAAACACTGCACAGAGGCATTAGATGGAGTGGAAGGTCAATACATACAGCAAACACTTACCCCAGAGTGTCGGACAGATTGCTCATGCAATACAAGTGCTAAGCCAGCAAACAGATGAATTAGTATTATGACTAAAATGTTTTTTAAGCTTTGTAAGGTAAGACTCAATGGGTTATGGTTCTTTTTTTCAGTTAAATCAGTGCAACACATATAATTAAATCACTATAGATTGCCCATCTTCAACAGGCATTTTGGCTGATTTTAACATTCTCCAATATACATTTATAAATGCAGTATATACAGTATTTTCTTTGTATTGCTTTATTGGGAAATTTATCATTGCTTTACATACCTATTACAAATCCTATTCATTTCCTTCGCCTGCAGCACACTGATGTGCTGTTAAGGTCTGCAGGCCTTAATAAAATAAGGCTGCAGTTGGTCTCATACCTAAGCTCTGCAAGCCCTACATACAGTGCGTGGCAATAATGTTAGAACCTTCCACTTTTCCTTAAAGTCCTCACTACCTAAACTGAGTTGCTTTTTCCAGGATGCAAAGCTGAATCTGAACACAGCATACTCAGGCTGCTCTAGTCTGGATAATGCAAAGAAGCAACTCTCCACAGAAGGCCAGACTGATGGTGGGTGAGCACTGAGCAGCTTTTTTTTTTTTATAAGACTGAGAGGGAAGTTTTGTAACTGTTGAGTAAAATCCTCCCACACAACACAAATGTTTTGTTTTTTTTTGGCTCAGACATCTCACACAAAAGTAATACAAACATAAGGATTGTGTGACCTGTGTGTGGAGAAACAGCCATGTAAGAGCACTGATAGACAACAATGACTGGCCATTATTACATTTCTAATAAAGAGCAAATGTCCAACCAGCTGACTTTAATATGATACTTCTATTCATTTGCGCGCGATCACTCTCCCTACAAAGCAAAACAAGTAAAAAATGGCGAAAGCCTTCCCACTGGAGCAAGTCAGCTGAGCTTCTGAATGTTAAGAACAGAATTAGGATATTTGGTCTTTTTTTTTTTTTTTTGGACAAAAGGTCCTTACACACCGGGACTGTTTTTTCACATTCACATCAGGGACGTTTTCCCGTCCTGCGATATTGCAGCATTTATTTTTTTGGATCACGGTCAATTTTTCTAAAGTTTCCCATACTGTGTGTCCACTTCTGGCCAATCAGATTGCTTGTTGTTGCGACGTCTGATTCACTGGTATATCCAACATGGCCGACGGGCTGATTGCTTACGTGCCAAAGAACAGAGTGCTTTTTGATAAAAAACACGAACATTACAAAGATAACGACCTGAAGGATAGTTTGTGTGCTTTTACAGTTTGCTAAAAGTCTTTGTTTCAACTTTCATCTGTGCTAAGTAACCTTAGCTCGTAAGCTAACCTGTTCAGATACAACATACCATCTGTATTTTCACTGTCTCAAACTCAATCGTGTTGCTGTCACAGCACCATTAGCTCTCGGTTGTTATCTTATGTTTATGGATTATAGTTATCGCATTGGGCATGATGTGTATAGTCAGGCGCGTCAAAATTCGCCTCAGAATATTTTATAATTCCGCGTCAGATATTTGCCTCGGTCCCGGTGAGGACCTTGAAGCAGTGGGGGAGGAAAATACAACATTACAAGCTCTTTAACTATTTCTGTGATGATGAATTAGTGAGATGTGGACTGTAAAATTAGTTATAGTAGTATAGTTATAACAACTGAAGATTTTTTTTTTTAATTGTAAAAACAAAGCACTGGCTTCTGTTGTTTAGTCTTTCACAGTTACTTCAAATAAACTCTGCCTTGCTTAAAATCCAAGGGACCTTGAGGAATACAATCTTGTATAATGTAACATACCTATGGTGGGGAGACATGGCATTGACATTTACATAATGGGCTCTGTAGACACATTGTCAAGGGTCATGACAGCCACAAACACCTCAGCACTTTGTGGCTTCTACTTAAATAATCACTTACATACTTCCCATATTTTCAGAATGTGCCTCAATGTTAAATGTTTTATAATTCCACCAGACGGTCACACTGTTTCTTTCTGAGCATCATGTTGTAGCCCTTTACCTTTATTCTGGGTCATGCACATTTCCTGTGTGGGCGCACAGCAGGGGTTGGACAAACCTTTGAAAAGAAAAGAAAGCAGAAACAAGGACAGGTCTTTGTTCCTCTCGCTGAACAACTGCCTGCTCCCTTCACCACTTTTACTTTGGGGGATAATAAACTTAAACTTCCAAGAAGAATAGTGAGCCTTGAGTTACACTGGGTCAGCTTCCTGCCACTCTGTGGCTACAAGGCAACCCAAAAACAACAAATGAAAGATTTGCATTTTAGAGAACCTGTGGGGTGCAAACAGTAACTTTTTTTATCCACATAATTCAACCACAGTGATTCAGAAAAATAGGACAGATTTTTCAAGGTATGAAGAGATGGGCTTATACTAAGAAAGCAACAACGAATAACCACTCTGCCAAGTTCAAAGAACAGCCATTTTCTCTGAGCTCTGGAAAACTCTGCAGCCATGTTTTCTATGATGCAGTCATCAAAGTGACAGGCAGTACTGTTCTTAAATCCTGTGAGGGCCAGGTTACTATTGAAAATCTGATTTTATTAATTAACTATTATTACATTCCAATTATTTTAAATGAATACACCATTACCAAAGTAGCAATGTGACATTTATTAGCCTGTGTGTTGTATTGTTTGAAATCGTTTTGAAACAATAGTCACGATTTCACAGATATTTTTTCATAATCTATGGTGTTGCCTCAAGAAAGCAGAGAGCAATGTAACTAGGAGAAGCTGACAGCTTCAACCAGCTCTGACAGTGAGGATACCCAAGAGGCTTGAGCTTTCCAACAGAGGAAATTTTATGTGGGCAGGGAGAAACATCTCCAAGTCTCCCATCAAGACTCCAACCCTGCATATGGCATTTGCCATGGTGGCAGCCCAGCACTACAGCTCCGACTGCAAACATACGTTAAAAGGAACGGTTGAAAGCTTAAGCCAAATGTGAATAATTGACAAGGTGGCCAGCTGAGTCCTTTTGAGTGTTTTATTTGACTATAAAGTCATATTTTGCAACAGGTATCCAGACTAAAGAAATAACTCTTTAAAACCTAGTGATTCATGAGCCACATTTTTGGAATGAACATACAGAGCTCAGCCAGCCGCTCTCCTTCAATACAACACCTACAACAGTCTGCCCAGGATCCAACAGCCTGCACAATTTAAGTGTTTTCTGCATGATGCAACTTCACAAAAGGTAATCTAAATACTAAAACTGCAGAACAACATCAGTTTATCTTCAAAAAAACCTGGCAAACATTTCATTTCTGAATTTCTGCTTCTTGATTTTGATTTCTGCTTCATCGTTGATTTTGACCAATAGAAAGCCCATTTCGACCACAGGGATATATAGGAGCAAGGTTAAGTAGACAATCTAGCTCAAGCATCATTTTTCAGTAGAGATGGTGACAGGCAGAAGAGTGAACAGTTAGTGGCACTGAATTTCTGAGGTACAGTTAACCCATTAAAGAAATGTAATCTTTTCAGGCCCTGAAAACTGTCCTCCTAATTAGTCCCTCACTGCCAGCAATAAAGTCAGGACAAGATTGTGGCAGAATGAAAACAGGTCTGGTTTCATGTGCTCTCTTCTATATTATTTTGTGGATTCAAACAGAAAAATCAGTTTAACTGATGAAAGGTAAAAATTTTGTGAGCCCACGTCAGTCAATTTTGATTGTATATGAGACAGTCCTGATAAATAAATGTAAAGAATATAAATAATTCATAAACAATTTTTGACATTTCCCTCTACATTCACGATTAATACTTTAAAAAACTCTGTAGAGTAATGATTTCAAATCACAGATGAGCAATCACCATTCTTTCAATTTCCTTGCCACAGTATTGCAGTTTTGACGTTTTATTTAAGTAACAAGGTAAAACAAACCAGGCCACAGTCACTCTCAAACACAAGGAGAATGGTGCCCAAGTATCACTGAAGCATCCAAATCAGAAATGCATACAAATGTCTATTGTTTTTTGTAGTTTATTTTTATATTGTCTCACTGATGGTGACCCCCCCATCAGTGAGACACACACACACACACACACACACTTCCACTAGGTGATGTTGTGTCTTTTTTTTTTCATCTATATTGTACTGTTTTTGCTGTTTTGCATCACTTAGGTAAAAAAAGGAGAATGATATGACGCAGCAAACACATTTGTTCAAATCATAACACAGAAAAAAAGATAATATCAAAGATTTAAAGTCATTGATTTATAGAAAAGGCTGTACATGTTGAGCAAGAAGAAAGTCATACTGTAACACAACAGTACATTACATCTGGCTTTCTCTTCTCCCCTGCCCGCTTCTGTGGCAACTAAGCCTGTTGCCTAGCAACCTCTTAATCAATACCTGGTCCTTGCTGGAACAAAGCAGAACAACGAGGGGGAAAATAATGGAGGAGCATTTAGCTAGCAGCCTTACTGTACAAAAGCCATGTCAGACGCTTTTCATGTACATACCACACACTGACGGTCACCATTAGCAACCCCTTGTTATTGTTTGGTCATTGAACAATAAAGGAGGTGGGAGAATATATTATGCAGAATGTGAAAAGTTTCACATACTGCTACTTGTTTTGTAAAAGAGGAAAACAACACGGAAGGCTTCGGCTTGGTTTCAGGTGTTCAAAACAGATTAATCTTTGTAGGTTATACAAACTCAACACTTGCATTTGTATATAAATTTGGTCATGTCTTTAAAGATTCTCTTCACAGAAGGTAAATTGTGTGAAAAAGAGTATCTGTTTCAGGAGGATAAACCTGTAAGAACTGAGTGTCTGCAAAAAGTTTGAAGAGAATTTTTTTAAATAAAATGCATAAATTATTCCTACAGCAACAGATAGATACCATCCCCGGACCCAAGCTTCTTACATTAACAAAACCCTAATGTCAACATGAATATGGCATGGTTAGATGTGATTTCAAATGGTTAAAGTTCTAACTTTGATACTAGGCTGATGTCATTTGATGGTGCTATATAACATTAATTAGCTTTGCTGGATGTAATAGCAGGTTATTTTGACTTGAATGTCCTCCCCCTACAGTATTACACAAACAGATTTATAAAAATGATAAACTACAGCTGCTCAAACAAATGAGAAACCACCTTCTCTTAGATTAAAACTTCAATCAGTTCAAGTGGGCATTTTCTCCTTTATATCTATCAGTTACGATGTGGTGATGGAAATGTGGTCAATTAATGTGTTCACTGGCCACTCACAGTGGTATTGCTGATAGAGTTTTTGATATTTTCTTTCACTGTGATTTAACTGAGTTTCTTAAAAAGTGCAGACTTCCTGTATTTAAAAAAATCCCTTCCTGAAGACTATTTAAAAAATGCATTGATAAAAACTGGCATCACTCTTAAAGGGGACCTGCCATCAAAATTTCATACCCATTTTTTCATAATCCTTGATGTCCTCTGATCATGTTTGCAACATAATTTTAGCTAAAAAGTTATTTGATGGTTTGTTTTAGTATGCCTAAAAAACCTTAGAGTAAAACCAACTGATTTTGGCTCATTAACATTTATGGTAATAAGCTTTGCTCTGATTGGATCACTGCTGTGAAGCCTGCTGTGCTCTGATTGGCTCAGCAGTGGAGGTTCGGATTTTGTTTTATCCATTTTGCTAATGTGTGCTAAAGTGAGGTGCCCAGATGTCTGTAATGATATCCGGGGATATTCAGTGCGGCAGCGGCGGCGGCTGCGGGGAGGGTGCAGGGGCTGCAGGGGCTGTGTGATCACAGACAAAATCTCGGTACTGTTTAGTAGCAGCACATGCCCCTTGTAATAACCCCCTTAAAAACTGTTGTTCAGGACTGCTTACTTGTGCTTCCTAGCTATTCGGCTACTGTAATAACTGTTGTTCGAGCCCACACGCAACTTTTTCGCTCTCATTCATGAAACGCTTAAATCGGGGACATTTTCGGGGACAGCTTTTGCCGGGGACAGGTCATCCAATACGGGGGTCACCTTATGCTAAAGGCTAAAAATGGCAGGTATTAAACCATATATATTTAGACCCCGAGTCAGAAGAGGAGGTGGAAGTTGAAGAAGAAGCCGGAGATCTCCAGTGGTGTTTTCTCATTCATTCTGCCCGGCTTCAAGTTCATTTTCCCTGCTCGTGAATAATAATGAGTAAGGTCAGCGCGACGTTAGAGGGACCTGCTTTTTCAATTGGCCTGGTTTACCCGTTCCTTTATTTTAAACCTTTACAGAATGCAAACGACGTAACGGTTGTTTTCACATTTACAGCATAAGACGAACATAATATGGACCTTATCTGACACAAAAAACACACAAAATTACACTTTGATGGCAGGTCCCCTTTAAGTATTGGTGTAAACAAGAATTAGAAGATTAAACCTTTTAGATTAACTGTTTAAGAAAGAGTTAAGCTTAGGGTTACAATTGTGAGTGTAAACCAAACTATACCTTTGAAAACTTCAAAAGATGGGTTACAGGTAATTTGGGGAGAAATAACTTCTTTGTACAAACAGTGATACCTTCAAAGACATTAAATTTGAAAGGGATGGCGAGTTGAATTGTTGGAAAGATCTCTCACACATTTAAAATCAAGACCTACTGAGTCCACAATGTAATATTTAAATAATTTCAGTTAAAGCACAGATGCTTATTGTGCAACTGTATGTGTATTTGCAGGTACAGCAATGTTGGAAAGCTGCTGCTCCATGTGTGCATGTTTGTGTTTATGATATCAAGACTGTGGGAAAGTATGTGGGAGAACAATGTCATACAATTCACCTTCCAGTGGGTGAGTGGGGGTGGAGCTGAGCATCGGTCAGGTAAATAGAGACTACACACCAGCACATCTCCAAGGACATCATCTTTCTTTTTTGTTTCCAATGCACTTTTACATTAAAGCAAGCCATCTGAAGCACTGACACTTTGAAAAAAACTGGTTCTTATTCCGCCTGAACACCATTTTCAAGTATTCCTTTACCTGAAAATCCAACAGATGATGCACTCTCAAACTTCCTAAGTGAATGTAGCTTACATTTGTATATGTACATACATCATTTGAACTTAACCTTTGGAGTGCAGAATATGTGAACGAAGGGCTATTTTTGAAAGTGATATCAGACTGAGAGCAATGAAAAAAAGAGAAACTGAAAAATCCATTTTCATATGTAGGAGGTATTAATGCAAGTGTGGGTAAATGTGGACAAGAGCGGTGATAGAATAAACCCTGTGGCTGTAAGATTTAACCTGGTGGAGCGAAAGCTTTATCTGGAGCTTCACTACATTTTTGATGCCCAACTTGCAACACAAGAATAGAAACGTTGCTGCTGGTTAGCTTACACTAATGGTGTCTTGTACAATGTTCTTGAAAAAATCTCTCTGTCAAAGCCAAAAGTTTCATTTATGGCCTGTAATATATTGGGAGGAATTCAATGTACAGTCATTTAAGAGGGTGCAGGTTGTCTCATGTACAACAGTTGACATTTAATCAGAACAGAGAATAAAAACACAAGCCCTGTGGTCAATAGCTGTTTTACTTTGATTATTTTTTCATTGTTTTGATTTCAGGTCAAAACTACTTGTAAACTTACCCCTTAAGCAGACAATGAAGAAAAGGAGAGGACATATGTTGCAGAAGTCTCATCTTTCTGCATGTAGCTTTATTAAACTGAATTTGTGCAGATCAACCTATTTTTACCTGTGTGTGTGTGTGTGTGTGTGTGTGTGTCTGTGTGTGTGTGTGTGTGTGTGTGTGTGTGTGTGTGTGTGTGTGTGTGTGTGTGTGTGTTTATTTGCACATGCACAAATTTTGTCTGTGGCAATACTGTCGAGAAGTGTTAGTAAAGCGGGGTCAGATTTACAGTTCAGAGCAGACCTTAAGAGTAGGGGCTCTATTTTCGTGCCTCGCCGGAGATCTGCCGCAAGCGCAGCGTCAGTCAGATCCGCCGCGCTGACAAGGCGTTCCCAAGCACATTTTGGTATTTTGGTGAGCCGCGCAGCCCGGCGTAAGTATCCCCCCTCCCTTACTCAGCTCCTCCCAGCAGCATAAGTCGTAGACGGGGAGGAGAGAGGGCGTGGAGTGGATTTAACACAGCCGAGACCTGTTTTCACCAATCACATAAGCTCCTCTCCTCGCCTTTAAATCCGCCACCGGCGAGGCGTATTACTATTTTCATGAAGTAGTCAAAGAGATCAAGAGATGTCTGAAGACAGTAATGCCACAAGATGGCGACAGAGGGCAGCTCCTCAACAAGTGTCACTGTAAGCGCTGCAGAGGGCGTCCTCCACACTCTCTCATATAAGCACAGATGGATTTGGTGTGTGTAATGTTGGACCCACTGGTAAGACAAACACCCTTTTCCACAAATAAAGACACTCACATAAAGTTGCTCATATTCAAACCTCACGTGACAAAGGTGGGTTTAGCGCACAGATCACAACATAAACTCCAAAAATGGCATTAAAATCGGAACCATCTGTGCGTAAATGACGCATCGTGCTCCGTGGCCTGGCTCTTTCTTTCATAGATGTTGGCATATAAAATAAATTTGGCCCACAAAACTGAATATTATAATGTTCGTATGTCGGCTTAAAGTAGATAAAGCATCTGAGCACTGAAACAAATCATCTGTTCAGCTGCAGCAGCAGCAGCAAGACGGACAGAGGACACGGAGACGTGTCCAGGTCGAGCTGTGCGAGAAATAAGAGGAAGAAAGAAAAGGAGGGAGACGAATTACATATCTTGTTAACTTCATCATGTGTGTTTATTGAAGAGTGAAGAGTGATTAAAGATAATTATTAGTATAATGATCTAATAAATACAACGGTGTATAAGGGCCACATTATGAAAAAAAAAATGTAAGACTTTGAGATTTAAGTCATTACTTACGAGAATCAAGCCATTAATTTAGGACAATGAAGTCGTAAAGTTACCTGTTGTGGAAGAGAGTTGTCAAAATGAGGGCTGTGGAGCATTTAGATGAATTGTACTTTGGTATAGGTTTCACAAACATGGAGATACTAATACTTTGGTACAATAGC